CTTTTCCTTAAATAATCCAGTTAAATGCAGGAAGGGAAAATGAGAAACAAGGGTCCCAACAGGCACTCACTTATAATGGCTGAGGGCCCCAAGGAGGGTCTGGATGCATTGCTGAAATTTGGGTGGGCAAGTTTGAAGAGAACAGGGGGTTTGCCTGGTCCTTTTCCCAAAGCAATTTTTCCCTCAAATAATTTTATCCCACTACCAAGGTAAAAGGGAAGAAAAAACTTTTTACAGTGAAAAACCAGAGACCACTTAAACCAATTATCAGGTAAAACCATCTCTGGGTAATTAAAAACCCATAGGATGATTATTGGGAACTTACCTTACTTGATTAAAAATGCCACGGATAGCATATAACTTACTTGCATTTGTCTGCCAAAGATCCTTTTTTACTTTAAATATAATTATTACAAGGAACCTTTTCTACCCCCAATACACTTAATGGGAAAAGGAACTATTCCACTTGTTTCAATAAGAAGGGTATCTATAAAAAAAGCACGTTTGAAAAATGAAACCCACATAACATTAAAATTAAAAATTAAAAACAAACCAACTGGAATTGTATAAAATTGCACAAAAAATCTTTATATTTACTTGAAAAAGCCCCTCTGGAACTAGGGTCCTCAAAGCAAAAGGAAAACTCTTTTTCTATTTTACATAAGGGGATATGAGAGTATGTATATTTGCCTTTAATTTAAAGAGGAAGGGTAAGACTTATAGACCCATTTTTATGATGGACTTTCTCCAATTTAACCCAAAGGAATTATGATTTTCATTACAACAGATGTGATAAAGCCCGAAAAACATGCACTAATCAAGGCAAGCTGGTTAAACATTTTTCAAGTTCTGATTTAAACTTGACATTTCATTCCTTTGAAAGTAAAAATGGGCTTTACAGGCAGGGAAAAGATTGTGGCATGAACTGTGCTATCTGCAAACACAATTAGTAGTATACTTTAAACCATCTTTTTATAAAAAAGTAACCAGTGGTTAAAGGTTGCATTATTAAGGGGAAAAAGTTCGTCAATTTAAGATTTGTGAGGACTAGTAGAGTTCCACCTTCTCAAAGCGTGCAGGGTGTGAGGCCTAAACTTTTCCCAAGCAAGTTCCAGGAACAAAAGTTAAAGCAGGGAAACAGACCACAGATGTGAGACAACAAACCCCGACACACTTGCAGAGGGCAGCAATGGACCAAGGCAACAAAACAGGAAAAACAAGGAGTTCCACAAAATTTCGCTTTCCGGCTTTGCTAAAAATTCATTTCAGGACCTTTCTGGGCCTTCTTCCTCCACGGGAGCACTAAACACCTCTGCCGCTCAGAGAAAGTTTCCAGGGCTAAACTTTAAGGACACCAAGTAAACACCTGCGGAAGAACCAACCGAAGGACAGAGCATGTTCTAAAACTGTGCAAAAAGGAAGAAAGCAGAAAATATTTTTTCTTTAAGGAAAGTGTTCCTCTGGGCTCACTGCAAACTTAAACCCTTTGGCTCAATGATGGGACAAAGATTGCAAAAGATTAAAGGCCTTAATAAAACTTGCCTTTCAGATGGGGGATCAATTTACATTCTCCCAGAAGACAAAGTGTATAATAAGGCCTTGGAACACCAATGTGATTTTACTTGGGACCAAAAGCAATTTAAACTCCCAACTTTCCTAAAAAATGATTATAATTTTGGCTATTTTCCACCATTGTTTCACAATAAAAACAAACCCCTAAGTTTCACAAAAAATAAAAGGATGAACATGTACAAAACATCAAAAACAAAGTTTCATTACATGAACATTGTAATAAGCAGGGCTTTAAAAATAAAACAAAAATTTTAATGGTTAGAAAAACCGGGAGACAATTTAGCCTTCACTTTTGAATAAACCCTAGTGCCACAAAATGTCTTATGGCCCAGTCCAACGAAGTTCATGGCCCACAGGCAAAACTAAGACCTTAAAAGTCAGGTAATAAGTTGCGCTTTTGCTCCTCTTGCCGAGCCTGCTTTTTTCCCTCTGCCCCGGTGCTCGTCCCCCCTTTCAGTAAACACTGCCTTTGTGACGAAAAAAACACGCTTTCCCGCCAACGTTAGAAAACCAACTTGCTTTCTCCACTCCCATCACGTGGACATTCACAGTCTTTGCGTGCTTTCAATTCTCTGATTTTCCTATAAAAAAATGCTGTGTCCTCAGAGTTTTGTCTTTAGCCTGCACGTCTGTTTCAAAAGCAAAGAAAAACACTTTCCCTTGATGGATTTCATCTCATTTCCAAATAGCCCAAACTTGCAACTGCTGTAACTGATCGGAGCTCCCAGTCCACCCAAGCTTCGGACAGACTTCAGGGATGCACTCCACTTCCTGGCCCTCCCAACCCAGGCATGATCACGGCCATGCACCCAGATGGCACGCCCTTCATTATTCTTCCCTCGCGCAGTATCGCCAGTGTCTTTTGTTAGTTCAGCTTCACATCGTGCTGAATCATCCCTCCCTTGGTTTCTAGTCCTTCTCTAGTTGCCCTCGCTGTCTCTCCTTGTTTCCTCCGTCCTTCAGTTACTTCAGACTTCCAACATCAACTTGTTCTCTACACTAAGTTGCTCAATGTCTACCTCACTGCGAAATCTCAATGGCTCTCCGGTGCTTCCCGAACATGCCTTGGCACGGGTCCTCCAGCTTGGCGACGGCCTCTCCAGGTCTCTGCTCATCTCCCCCTGCACACCCCATTCCGCCAATGTGGGCTGGATGCCCCTCTCTGTGTTGACACGCTTTGCTCATGCTGTTCCTTACAAGGTGACATCAATGGTACAGGTATTAGCTGTCACCAATCTTTTGGTCCTTAAAAAATTGTCTTATCCTCTGGATCACCATTCACTCGACCAAGTGCTTACACTCTAGACTTCAACTGCCAACGCTCCTACAGGACTATGCGCTCCAGTCCAATTCTTTCCCACTTCATCGTTAGACTGGTTCACACAGACTTGCCTTCACTGCCTCTCTGCGCCTGTTGGCAGTTGTGGCCAGCTCTCCTCTGGAACTCCTGGACACTCTCTCTTGCGAGGTGTGATTCTTCCATAATTCCAGCGCACACACCCGTAAGTGTTGCAGGTACCTCACATCCCCCGGTAGAAACTCCAAGCCTCGTTTTAGGGACTGATCTCTCTAGGCCACTGTCTGCGATACAGCCCAATGGTGCGTCTTAGCTCAGATCTTTCCCGAGTTCCGCATCGTACATCACCACCTGTCAGACGTTCCTGCCTCGTCCCGAACCTAGACATCATTCTACCACACTCATTCCTTGGAGAATCCTCCACACTCACTCCGGACTGCGTCCATTTTACACAGACCCACCTCTCAGACTCAGCCTCCCAAGTTGGAAACCTGACCCAGGCAATCTTTTCTCTGGGAGATTGAATTGAGAACATCCTCTGGACGCTTAAACTAGAAATCAAATTACAGGCCGAGGTTAGGTACAAGTGAAATGGAGAAGCAGTCTGCAGAGCAGAGGACAGAGGCGACCGGAGAAGCAGGAATGCACCCAGTCAAGGAAGACTGAGAGTGACCTTCCTGGGAGGGCTAACTTGGTGTTCTCATTGTTCCAACCTTTACCTTCCCCTATCCTCTTCAGAAACTGCTTTTGCTCCATTTTTCTTGCTACTAAACGTATCAGTGTTTCTGTACTTACAATCAAATAATCCCTAAGATAAATCTTCGGGTGTACTACCGGAAAAAAAACAAAGGCTGGCCAATAGGATAGCATCCCATCAAGAAGTATTGCAATTTCAGAAACATTAAAAAGTGAAAATCAGTGTGACTCCGGAATCAAACAATCCAGGCACATACCATCCGTGTACAGACCCTCCATCCCTGGATAAATTTCCGCTTCCACCTATCCCGGTCACACCCTATTGGACCATTGGCAGCCAAAGAGAATTAGGAAAATAAACATATGTAGGTGCTTCAACACAATTAGTTGTCAGCAAAAATTAAAAACCACAAGGGAACAACTTCCCACCAGAAATGTAAATTAAAAGGTGTTAACAATCAAGTGTTGGAAGGATGTGGAGAGGCACCCTCAGACACTGCTGGCTGGTGTCAGTGGGCACGCCAAGGTGGCGAAGTGTATGGAGCCTAGCTCACAGCAACCTCAAACTCCTGGGCTCAAGTGATCCTCCTGCCTCAGCCTCCCAAGTAGCTGGGACTACAGGCATGTGCCACCATGACTGGCTGATTTTTTCTATATATATTAGTTGGCCAATTAATTTCTTTCTATTTATAGTAGAGACAGGGTCTTGCTCTTGTTCAGGCTGGTTTCGAACTCCTGAGCTTGAGCAATCCGCCTGCCTCAGCCTCCTAGAGTGCTAGGATCAAATATAGGCATGAGCCACCACGCCTGGCCAGCTCCTTTCTTTTATCTTCTAAGATACATGCCTTATCAGTGAGTTTTCTCCTTTTGCTTGATGAAATATCTATATTATACACTAAGGCTTTCTAGATTTTCTGGAAACCGTATCATAAGCAAGCAAGCCAACCAAAAGCCTGTATTCCCCATTGGTTCCAGAATAAGACTTACTGCAAAATCAAACACCCAAAAATGTTTCTAAAGCTAAATACACACACATTATGTCATAGATAATAAATATATATACATATATATAAAAAAACTGGCCGGGCACAGTGGCTCACGCCTGTAATCCTAGCACTCTGGGAGACCGAGGTGGGAAGATCGCTCAAGGTCAGGAGTTCCAAACCAGCCTGAGCAAGAGCGAGACCCCATCTCTACTAAAAATAGAAAGTAATTGGCCAACTAAAAATATATAGAGAAAAAATTAGCTGGGCATGGTAGTGCATGCCTGTAGTCCTAGTCCAGGCTAAGGTAGAAGGATTGTTGAGCCCAGGAGTTTGAGGTTGCTGTGAGCTAGGCTGACACCACAGCACTCTAGCTCAGGCAACAGAGTGAGAATGTCTCAAGGAAAAAAAAAAAAACAAACTAAAACCAGTGCTTATCTATAGAGTTTTACCTCTCTTTTTCTTCTTTCTTCCTGAGTACGATGTAAAAGAGAAGCCTTTTCTTCCTAAATCCAAAAAGAGAAAAGAGGTAAAGATTATAATTTCAATTTTAAAACACTATCATATAATTACAGAATGCTGTAACCCAAAATGATTATAAAGATCATCCAATCAAACTATCTGACTTAGATGAGAAACCAGAGGAACAACAGGTTAAATGGCCCCCAACTCCAAGGTCACAGATCTAATTAAAGTTAGCATTTCAGTAGTTTTCTAAGAATAAAATCTGATTCCTTTACATACACAAGTGAGTGCAAATAGAAGTGGGGAAATCTGGATAAGATTGGCGCACTGTACTAATGTCAATGTTCTGGTTGTGATGTCACACTACAATTCTATAAAATACTACTCACAGGGGAAACTGGGCAATGTGAACAAGGGACCTCTCTGTTTTGCTCCTAACAGCTGCATGCAAGCATACAATTATCTCAATAGAAACGTCAATGAAAAATCAATTTCTTTTTTTTTTTTTTTTTGAGACAAGAAGGTCTCGGCTTTGTTTGGCCAGGGCTAGAGTGAATGCCGTGGCGTCAGCCCTTAAGGCTCACAAGGCAACCTCAAACTTTCCCTGGGTCAAGCAATTCTTTTTTGCTGCCTTCAGCTCCCAAGGTTAGGCGGACTACAAGGCATTCGCCACCCATTGCGGTTAATTTTTTGTATATAATATTATAGTTGGGCCAATTAATTCTTTTTTTATTAGTAGAGGAGGTCTCCCCACCTCTTTGCTTTCAGGCCTGGTTTTGAAACTCCTGAACCTCGAAAGCAATCCGGCCCTAAAGCTCCAAGAGAGTAGGATTATCAGGCGTGAGCCACCCGCGCCTGGGTGAAAAAAAATCATTTCTTTATATAAAAAACTTCATCTAAGTAAAAACTAAAATTTTGAAAAAATTTCTTGGTTTGTAGAAGGAATTAAAGGAATACAAGGAAGTAAAATTTTCAAAATAAAAAATAAAGATCCTCTCTCCTACAATTTATTCTATTCGTTGGGCATGATGTGGTGGTCAACCTGTAAATCCAGCCACTCTGGGAGGTAGGACAGGCAGGATATTGACTGAGCCAAGAAGTTTGAGACCAACGCCTGAAGCAACAGAGAATCCAATCTCTAAAAAAACACCCAAAACTGTTCAGTCTTTAATGTGTGAATATTTTATTTTTTTAAATTTAATCCAAAAAATAAAATTAAAGTTCGAAGGGCAGTTGCATAATGGAATCATTAGAAAAACTAATAATTTTTAATTCTCTTAAAAGTTTACTCCACAGAACAGTGTGAGAGAGTAAAAACCATTTAAAGTTATCACTGAATGTGAATTTACACAATATGCAGAATCAAAGTTTCTCACCATCAAAATGTAAGCCACAAGAATCAATTCTCCAGATATTTTCCATTATTAGAACAAATTTCAAACAAAGCTTTACAACATGTTCAAAGGCAGAAAAATATTTTTTTTAAATTTAATTATAAAAGGATTTCACCTTACCTTACTTAATATATTTTTTAAATTGACTTCTTTTAAACTTTCATTAGTTTAAACCAATTTTAGGTTAAAGAAAAAGCTGTAAAAAAAATGTTACGGTTCCCTTATCCCTTATGTTTACCACTTTCTTATATAATAACGCAGGTACATATCAATCAAAACAGGAATTAAACACTGGTTTAACCATATATTAATAACTGAACCACAACTTAGTTCACAGTTTTTCCACTCTACAATCGGTATCTGTTTCTAGAATCTTGTTCCAGACCCCCACACTGCACTTACAGGTCATTTTTCTTCTAATCTTTCTCGATCTACAGGCAGTTGGCTCTTGTTTTGTTTCTTTTCATGTCTAGACCACTGTCCCTCAACTGGTGTGTTTGTTCCCAATATTCGCTTTCATATTAGAGTAAAGGTTTACATAAAGACAGCGGTAGACTTAATCTTCATAGGATAATACATATATCCATTACTCTTATATAAAAATATCAAGAAATAAATGAACAAGGGATAAAAGAAAAATCTCTTTCCTTAAATAATCCAGTTTAAAAATGCAGGAGGAAAATGGAAACAAATGGTCCCCAGGCACTCAGTAATAATTGGCTGCAGGCCAAGAGCTCTGGATTGCATTGCTGAATTTGGTGGGCAAGTTTGAAGAGAAACAGGGTGTTTGCTTGGTCCTTCCAAAGCATTCTCCCTCAAGATAATTTATCCATACCAAGTGTAAAAGGAAGTAAAAACTTTCAGGAAAATACCAGAGCACTAACCAATGATCAGTAAACCATCTCTGGGTAATTAAAAACCATAGGATGATTATTGGGACTTAGCTACTTGATTAAAAATGCACACGGATACATATAACTACTTGCATTTGTCTGCCAAAAGATCCTTTTTACTTTAAATATAATTATACAGGGGAACCTTTTCTACCCATACACTAAATGGAAAGTGACTATTCACTTGTTACAATAGAAGGTATCTATTAAAAAAAGCCCGTTGAAAAATGAACCCCATTACATTAAAATTAAATTAAAAACAACAACTGGAATTGTATAAAATTGCACAAAAAATCCTTTATTTTACTTGAAAAAGCCCCTCTGAGAACTAGGTCCTCAAGCAAAAGGAAAACCTGTTCTATATACATAAGGGGATATGAGATTTATATTGCTTTAATTTAAAGAGGAAGGTGTAAGACTTCTTATAGACCATTTTTATGAATGACTTTCTCAATTACCCAGAATTATGATTTTCATTACACAGATGTGATAAAGCCCGAAAACATGTAACACTATAGTACAAGGCAGCTGGTAAACATTTTTTCAAGTTCTGATTATAACTTTGACAATTTCATCCTTTGAAAGTAAATGGCTTTACTAGGCAGGAAAAGATGTGGCATTGAACTGTGCTATCTGCAAACACATAGAGTATACTTTAACCATCTTTTAAAAAGTTACAGTGTTAAAGGTTGCATTATAAGGGGAAAAGTTCATCCAATTTAAGATTTGTGAGGACTAGTAGAGTTCCACCTTCTCAAAGCGTGCAGGGTGTGAGGCCTCACTTTCCCAAGCAGTTCCAGGAACACAAAGTTAAAGCAGGGAACAGACCACAGATGTGAAGACAACAACCCCGACACATCTGCAGAGGGCAGCACATGGACCAAGGCACATAACAGAAACAGGAGTTCACACACAATTTCGCTTTCCGGCTTTTGCTAAAAATTCATTTCAGACTTTCTGGCCTCTTCCTCCACGGAGCACTAAAACCTCTGGCCGCTCAGAGAAGTCCAGGGTCTAACTTTAAGGACACAAGTAAACCCTGCACGGAGAACAACAACCGGAAGGTACAGGAAGCATGTCTAAAACTGTGACCAACAAGTGAGAAGCAGAAAATATTTTCTTTAAGGAAAGTGGTCTCCTGCTGAGGCTCACTGCAAACTTAACCCTTTGGTCAATGATGACAGAGATTGCATAAGATTAAAGCCTAATAAACTTGCCTTTCAGACCTGGGGGATCAGATTACATTCTCCCAGAGAGACAAAGTGTATCAATAAGGCCTTGGAACACAATGTGATTACTTGACAAAGCAATTTTTAACCCCAACTTCCTAAAAAATGATTATAAATTGTTGGCTATTCCACACATTGTTTCACAATAAAACAGAACCCTAAGTTCAAAAAATAAAGAGTCGTATGAACAATGTACACAACATCAAAACAAAGTTCATACATGAACATTGTAATAAGCATTTAAAAATAAAAAAAATTTTACATGTTAGAAAACACGAGACAAATTTAGCCCTTCACTTTGAGATAAACCTAGAGCACAAAATGTTTATGGCATCCAACGGGAGTTCATGGCCCACAGGAACTAAGACCTTAAAAGTCAGGTAATAAGGTTGCGTTTTGCTCCTCTGCCGAGCCTGCTTTTTCCCCTCTGCCCCGTGCTCGTCCCCCCTTTCAGTAAACACTGCCTGTGACGAAAAAACACGCTTCCCGCCACACGTTAGAAAACACTTGGCTTCCCATCCACACGTGACATCACAGTCTTCTGCGCTCACATTCTATGTTTTTCCTATAAAAAATGCTTGTGTTCTCAGAGTTTTGTCCTGAGCCTGCACGTCTTCAAAGCAAGAAAAATTTCCCTTGATGGATTTCATTCATTCCACAATAGCCCAACTTGCAACTGCTGTAACTGATCGGAGCTTCCCAAGCTCCACCCAAGCTTCGACAGACTTCCAGGACTGCACTCCACTTCCTCTGGGCCCTCCCAACCCAGGCATGATCACGGCTCACTCAGCACCCCAGATGGCACACCCTTCATTATTCTTCCCTCGCGCCAGTCCATTCGCAGTGTCTTTGTTAGTTCAGCCTCTCAACATCGGTGCTGAATCCATCCCTCCCTTTGGTTCCTAGTCCTTCTCTAGTGCCCTCGCTGGTCTCGTCCCTTGTTTCCTCCGCCTTCAGTTACCTGTCCAGACTTCCAACACAACTTGTTCTCTACACTAAGTTGCTCAATGTCTACCTCAACTGCGCAAAATCTTCCAATGGCTCTCCGGTGCTCCCGAACATGCCTTGGCACTGGGCCTCCAGCTCTGCGCTGCCGACGGCCTCTCCAGGCTCTCTCGCTCATCTCCCCCCCTGCACACCCCAAATTCCGCCAACTGTGGGCTGATGGCCCCTCTCTGTGTTGAACGCTTTTGCTCCATGCTGTTCCTTCAACAAGTGACATCAATGTTACAGGTATTAGCTGTCACCAATCTTTCTGGTCCTTTAAAATAGGTGTCTTATCCTCTGGATACACCATTCACTCACAAGTTGTTACCTTTAACTTCAAACTGCAACGCTCCTACAGGACTATGCGCTCCAGTCACAAATTCTGTTCCCACTTCAATTAGTAGACGGTCACCACAGAACTTGCCTCACTGCCTCTCTGCGCCTTTGGCAGTTGCTGCCAGCTCTCCTCTGGAAACTCCTGGAACCACTCTCCTCCCCTTACTGCCGAGGTGTGATTCTTCCATAATTTCCCACGCAC